AAAAAAAAAAAAAAAACGTAGTCTAAATGATGATAGAATTACACTATAATACATTTTATAAGGTGCTTTTAAAAGGGAAGTCAACAAAGGCCTACACTAAGAAAGCTCCCGCTTAATGATAAAAATTTTTTATTAGAATGGGCCACTCAGAATTCTTTTACTACAGATCTTTAAATCAACTTGACAATCGCCTGAAGAGAGTAAGCCAAATCATCTCTGGAGATTCTTTTCACTTTCCTTTTCAAAGAGAACCTGATAATCAATAGAAATCTCCCCACCCCAACATAAAAAACAAACCCTACGTGTGTGGATAATTTAAACACTAATAATAAAACCTATTTTTCTGAAAGATCCACATCCAAAATAGTGTCTACCTGCTGCTGTTCCGCGCAAACCTATCTCTAAAATGTAGAAAGGTCGCTATTTGCTTCGTCACCAGGCAAAGACCTTAAAGTGACAATTATTCTTCTAAGGGAAAGGAAGGCCAAGAGAAACGACAACGACACTCCTAATAGTTAATTTCGGTTGGACCACGAATTTAACATTTGCTTTGTTACAGTTCTGAAGTCCTTTAAGCAAAGTGTATATTCATACTGTATAAATCCTGCCTGTTTTCGGTCAGATGCGCATGGTTAACATTAATCAGTTCACCCGCTACAGGGAGCGCCAGCATAATATATTTGCGCCTCACTTACATTTCAGAAAGCACTTGCATCACTTAAGAAACAAAACCAGGAAAAAAGGGGCAGCGGAAGAGGGAAAAAAAACCTGTCCTGCCTCATCCCTTCGACTATCGAATCCGAGATTACCTCTTGCCTCTCCGCTTCCTTGTTCTTCTGTCCCTGTTTTCTCGCGTACCACAAGCCGATTTCGCGGCCTTTCAGGTGCCCGGGATGCCTGTCCCTGCCGCCTCGACCACCCCCACCTCCGCCGCCGCCGCCGCCGCCGCCGCCGCCACCTCCTCCGGAGCCTCGGCTCCCTCGGTGACCCCCTGCAGGACCCCCTCCATAGCCCCCACCGGAGCTGCGGGGTCCCCCATCACGGCCCCAGTTCTGATGGTTGTCATAGCTCATTGTCCTAGCTACCGCTGGAAATGGCGTCCAGGCCCGGAAGCCACTGTACGTCCACTTCCGTTTTGCTTCCGTAGCGCAGCGCAAGAGGGCGGGCCATTTAGCGTCGCATTCAGCGGTTTCTGGTGACGTCACGGGGGGGACGACTCCGGTGGTCTGAAGGGTGGCAGGGGTTAGGTTCTGTCAGAGTCCCGGAGTTGTTTACCTTTGTACCTCTGGAGCAGCAGCCAACCAAAGGTTCGTAGATTTTCTTTCCGTAGGCCAGGCAAGTGAGCCAATGGCTTTTGGCTTTACTTTGTTATTTCTCCTGATAAAATCCGCAGTTTTCTTCCACTTAGGTCCTAGGATAGTAAACGTTGACTGAAACAAAAGAACCCGGATGGGCGCGTGGCTCACGCCTGTAATCCCAACACTTTGGGAAGCCGAGGCGGGCGGCTTATAAATTCAGGAGTAAGGCGGGCGGCTCATAAGTTCAGGAGTTGGAGACCAGCCTGGCTAACATAGTGGAAACCCCGTCTCTGCTAAAAATACAAAAATTATCAGTGTGTGGTGGCGGGCGCCTGTAGTCCCAGCTACTTGGGAGGCTGAGGCAGGAGAGTCGCTTGAACCCAGGAGGGGGAGGTTGTAGTGAACCGACATTGCGCCACTGTGAGCTCCAGCCTGGACGACAGAGTGAGACTCTGCGTCAAAAAACAAACCAACAAACAAAAGCAAACAAACAAAAGCGAACCCGTGGATAAATGCACCATCTTCTAAAAGTATCAAATGAGTTCTTCTTAAAGTCTTGAAAACAGTCTGACAATCTTTCAGATACATAATTGAAAATACCCCTACCTCCTTGAAAGTATTGTCACTATTTACTATGTTCATCCAATAGCATAAGATGAGTGTGTCTACCCAAATTCAGTGCAGAGCTCATAGGCAATGTAAATGAACTGCTTTGAAGATTCATATGTTCATTTGAAGCCATATATGATTCATATGTTCATTTGAAGTCTGGTTAAAGTTTATTAACCAGACCACTGAGTGTTTGTGCAAGCTGTTCTTGAATGATCAAGTAATTGGGCCACACAGGCTTGGATGTTCACCAGGAGATATCCACCTCATGTTAGGGTTAACCGATGTAAAGATGCTGGGAATACTCACTGAATAAAGCAAGTATGGCATGAGCTTTCATTTGCTTACAGTCTTAAGGGAAAGACAAAGGCTATCTTTATGCAGTGAATTAAGAAAGGGAAATGCTGTATACCAGGAAGAGGTCTGTAATACACCATTGTGGCCTAAAAATTATCTTGAACAAAGACATCTGAGTTTCTGAAATCTATCTGTCTAAACACAGAACCACCCAAAATAATTCAAATCAATCTCCTGGGAGGGAAACCAGGGAAGACTGACTCTTATCACTGGAGGCTAGAAGTTGGCAACACACTTAAAGAGACACTGTAACAAAGATATCGTATCTGGTATCTGTTTTAAGTTCCCATTTATTCTTACTAAAAGTCATTTGTTTTTTCCATAAGTGCTGTTTTCGCCTTCTCTTTTTAAGATGGTAGATAAGCCCCAAACTCTGCCTCCCCGAGTTACCTTTTTCTGTGAACTGTTATTATGTATATGGTTAAGTCTGTCTTTTCTCTTGCTGATCTGTTTTGTCTCTTTAACTCTGGGGCCTGCAAACACTGACTCTGAGAGGACAGACACAAAGTATTTCCTCCCTAACGGCCATGAGACATTACAGCAAAATAATTTAATTTTGAAGTTAGGTGAGTTATGCAACAACTTTTTCGATAACTAGGCTTTTGCCAGACTATCAGGTAGAAGAAAAGTATGACAGGTGAAAGGAACAATGTGTAAAGACAGATGATGATGTGAGACATTAGAGAGCTGAGACAGCTACCCTGAAACTTAAAGACTGATGAAGAAGGCCAAAGAGGTAGATCTAGGGGTCTGATTATGGACAGCCTTACATGCCGCTTAAAGAATGGTGGTATGCTCTAAGCAGAGGAGTGATTATTTTGACTGCTTCAAGTGGAAATAGCGGAGACAAGAGTGGATACAGGGAAACTAATGTGCTGTGTGTTGTAGGGGAAGCAAAATGGGATGACAGGGTATTATGAATGGAAAGAATTGGAATCAGGAGACATTGGAAGATAAAATTACTTAAATGTGATGATTCATTGAATGTAGAGAATTAGAAGGGCTAAATGACTTGAAGTTTATGATTTGAATTATTAACGTGAGGAGATACATTATATCCTGAGATGAGAAATATAGGACAAGGAACATTTTGGGGGTAGGGAGCAGGATGAGGTAATGTCCTTTATTTGTACATGTAGACCTTGAGGATCCTATGAAACATACAAATGGAGTATCTGGAAAGCAGTTGGTTATGAGTTAAAAGCACAGAGGCTGGGTGTGGTGGCTTATACCTGTAATCCCAGTACTTTGGGAAGCTAAGGTGGGCAGATCACTTAAGGCCAGGGGTTTGAGACCAGGCTGGCCAAAATGGTGAGACCCTATCTCTACTAAAAATACAAAAATTAGCCAAGCATGATGCACGCCTATAATCCCAGCTACTCAGGAGGCTGAGGGAGGAGAATCGCTTGAACCCAGGAAGTGGAGACTGCAGTGAGCCAAGATCGTGCCACTACATTCCAGCCTCTGTTGCCTGGGCAACAGAGCTAGACTGTTTCAAAAAAAAAAAAAGAGAGTAGCCTGAAATTATACATTTTGGGAGTTTTTGGCAAATATGATTAAGACAACAGGAATGAATAATTTCTATAAAAGCATTCCAGTTGGGTACTCCTGATATAAAAAGTATGAAAATTGTTTAATAGATGAGATTGAGTAGGCATATTGAAGATGATAGGGGCAAAGTGGTAAGAAAATGGTGAGAGTGTTATGAGCTAAATCTTTGTGTTCTTGCTTCATTATGAAGCCCTAACTCCCAGTGTGGCTGTATTTAGAGATGAGAACTCTAAAAATGTAATTAAAGCAAAATGAAATTATAAAGGTGAGATCCTGATCCAATAGGTTTAGTGCCCTTTAAAAAGAGACGTTGACTGGGTGTTGTGGCTCACGCCTATAATGCCAGCACTTTGGGGGGCCAGAGTGGGTGCATCACGAGGTCAGGAGATCGAGACCATCAACTAAAAATACAAAAAATTAGCTGGGTGTGGTGGCAGGAGTCTGTAATCCCAGCTCTTGAGGGGAGGCTGAGACAGGAGAATCGCTTGAACCCAGGAGGCGGAGGTTGCAGTGAGCTGCCACTGCACTCCAGTTCAGGCAACGGTGGAAAAAAAAAAAAAGGCCATCAGAGAGCTTGTTCCTGCCTCTCAGAGGAAAGGCCATGTGAGGACAAAACAGCTTCTACACTCCAGAAATAGTTCTGTAAACCAAAAATAAAATTCTCTCTTTTTTTTTTTTTTAGATGGAGTCTTGCTCTGTTGCCCAGGCTGGAGTGCAGTGGCACAATCATTGCTCACTGCAGCCCTCACCTCCCTGGTTCAAGCAATCCTCTCACCTCAGCCCCCTATAGCTGGGAACATAGATGGGTACTGCCACATCCAGCTAATTTAAAAAAAATTTTGGTAGAGACGGGGTCTTCCTGATCTGTGTTGCCTGATCTGGCCTTGAACTCTTGGGCTCAAGCAGTCCTCTTGCCTCGGCTTCCCAAAGTGCTGGGATTGCAGGTGTGAGCCACCACACCTGGCCCCAAAATAAAATTAGAAGCCCTCCCAATGAACGGAATGGACTCGTCCTCTCCGCCAAGAGCATTCTAAAGTAAACTTGAAATACTAGTTCAGGCCATCATGGGAATGGGTGGTTGGATATGCCTTATTATACCTTCCTTCGTTTGGAGTCAGGTATAGCTGACCAGCATTAACATTGAAGCAGAGACCTTAAGACTGACAGAACAGACTCTTTATAGCAGTATGATGTCAAATAACAGTAGGCCCTGAAAGAAGGCATTTTCCTCCAAAATATATTTCTTTGACATATTTTGATGGCCCTTCAAAGCTGTCTCTTGTGGGGAAATCTACATTCTGTAGAGAATCTCGTTCCCTTTCCAAATTTCCCTGATCCATGAGAGAACTAAGAGTCTGGAACCTTTTTAAATTGGATAAGAAATATTTTTAGTATCTGGAGACCTTATCCACATAATAAGAACCTTGGTCTCCACGACTCCTTATCTTAACCCAGACAGTCCCTTCTGTTGATCCCGGGTCTTTAGATAAACTCTTTAACTCAATCAGAAAATCTTTGAATTCACCTATGACTGGGAAACCTCCTCCCACTTTGAGTTGTCCCACATTTCCAGGTGGAACCAGTGTACCTCTTACATGTATTGATTGTTGTCTTATGTCTCCCTAAAATATATAGAACAATGCTGTAGCCTGACCACCTTGAACACATGTTCTCAGTATCTCCTGGGACTGTGTCATGGGCCATGGTCATTGGTATCTGACACAGAATAAATCTCGTCAGATGTTTTAGAGTTTGACTCTTCATTGACAGCCCTCATTAGGAACCGAATTAGCTGGCACCTTGGTCTTGGACTTCCTTGTTTCCAGACTTTAAAAAACAAACGTTTGTTGTTTCAGCTGCCCAGGCTGTGGTATTTTGTTATGATAGCCCAAACAGACTAATACAGAGAGTAAGTGAGGAAGAGAATTAGTGTTTGTCACTTAGCATTTGCATTTGCTAGGTATTGGACTAGGTGACAAGCATTTGTGGTTGGCAGAATAATGGCCCCAAAGATGTCTATGTCTTTTTTTTTTTTTTTTTTTTTTGAGGTGGGCTCTCACTCTGCTGCACAGGATGGAATGCAGTGGCATGACCATGGCTTATTACAGATTCCACCTCCCAGACTCAAGCAATCCTTTCACCTCAGCCTTCCAAATAGCTAGGACTGCAGGTGTATATCACCATGCCTGGCTATTTTTTTTTGTTGTTATTTGTAGAGATGGGGTATTGCTATGTTGCCCAGGCTCGTCATGAACTCCTGGGATCAAGTGATCCTCCCACCTCAACCTCCCAAAGTGCTGAGATTACAAGTGTGAGCCACTGTGCCTGGCTGAGATGTCCATGGAAACTCCCTGGAAACTGTGAATATATTACATGGCCAGGGGAAAGTAAGGTTGCTAATCAGCTGATGTGATAGTTAATTTTATTTGTCAAGTTAATTGGGCTAAGGGATACTCACAGAGATGGTAAAACATTATTTTTAACTGGGTCTG